AATACATAAATAAAAGAAACAGTTACTCTGCTTTCTGCCAGCATTTTGTTTAGGAGTTATATGCCTAAAACGAAAACTGATGTCAAAAACTAGGGGAAATAAGCAAATAACTCACTTTTCCAGGCCTCACCAAATCTGTTGAGGTTCCAACATTTTTGTTTACAGAACACAGAGCAGGGGTCTATTCCACAAAACTAGGATAAAGCATTAAGGCGGAATGTCTAGCTTATCCTTGGTCAACGTAACTGATTTCCTGTCATGAACAGAACCCAGAAGGCCCGTAATGACGCCAAACACAGTAAAATTCCTTAAAAGTCTTTATTTGGATGAGGAGTTACCTGAGGAGGGCGAGGCAGGAGACAGAGTCGGAGGGCAGGCGTGAGTCAAAACCAGATCGGCACAAGCAGGTACAGTGAGCAGGCTGGAGACGTGGTAGAAGACAGGCGAGGGTCGTGATGGCAGGCTGAGTTCAAGGCAAGGGTCAGGAGAAAAACGAGGTCCGGAGGCAGCGATCAGGCAGGGTGGATGGCTGGAGAACTTACTGGCAAAGGCTTTCAATAATCTGGCACAGACTGGATAGCTGGATGGTTCTTTTATAGCAGGGGAAGCAGGTGTGTGAGATGAGCTGAGGAGTCAGGAGCAGGTGAAGTGGATGAAGCTGATGACAGGAACAGGTGAGAAGAATGGAGTTGATTGTGGTTGCCAGGGGAAACAGGGCTTGTCAGGAGCTTAGTGAAGGTTAAATGAGGATGGTGAAGGATGGGAGTCATGACATTTCCCGTATTATTTTAATAATCAGGGGCCTCATTTATCAAGCTTGCTTACACACATAACGAGGTCGGAAAACTGCGTAAGCAACTTTCCATACATACTTTGGGATTTATCAAAGAAAACTTAGCAGAAAAATGTGTGCAACTTTAAGATGACTAAGGACCTGGCTTACGCACATTTTGGAAATGGAGAGCACTTGCAGTGCTGCTGCTGAGAAGGATAAAATTATGAAATCCTGCAGCATTTCCTTACCTCTGTCCTTGTCCTATTTTCATCCTCTTATTTTCTTTCCCCTCCCCTGGACATCTGATCATTTAGGGTGCTCTGACATGTTGAGCTAGCTGAATCACCAGAAACAACCATTCTTCCCAGGTAGCAGGTAAAAGTAAATTAGACAGAGGAGAGGGGCGCCAGGTTGGTCTCATGGGAAAGTGACGTACTTAAGTAAATTTGGAAAGTTATTGACAGATTTGACATTTACAGCTTAATAACTTCTGATCAGAAGGTCACTTGGAAACATAACATACCTCTTTAGTATCGTGGAATGGCAGTGAACCAACTACAACCTAATTTTTTCTAAACAACCCATCCTCTGTGCGCGACGCATTACGAAACTGCTGCTACAACACATTCTCACACCCAAAGAGTCAAAATATGACGCTTGTGACCAAGCCTCAATATTTGACGATTCGGGACGCCTAAGCACGTCAGAAGAGGACGCATTGAGGACGCACTGTCCCAGAGCGTCGGTATCCGACGCCGGTGGTGAGACGGACATTAGACCGACTTGTGAACTACTTAACCTTCCCCTCACCCCCATTCTAACCTTAACCAGCGGAGTAACTGACTTAAGGTTAGGATTGGGGTGACGGGAAGGTTAAATGCTGTAATAATGTCCATGTGACCGTGGGTGTCAACTATGGATGCCAGCGGTGCCACGTGTCCCTGATCGTCCTCTCCTGATGTGCTGGGGCATCCCGAATCGTTATATATTGAGGCTTGGTCACACGCATCATATTTTGACGCTTTGGGTGTGAAAATGTGTTGGCGGCTAGCACCTAGGGACCATCTGCTAATGTAAGAACCACTCTGCAGGTGATGCAGCCAGATCATTGAAAATAATTAAAATATTGAGGTTTTTATTTTCATCTCTTTCCGAGAAATTAAGAGTATGTAAAGAGTGTAAATTTCATAATATTGCAGTACGGTTCATGTTTAAATAATTAATTTGTTTTCCTCTGTTCTGTGAATCAGCTGACTGTAAAAGGGCATTGTGTGTTGGAGGTTGAGAGAGGTATTACCTTTTATTTTTTTATTTTTTTATTCTGCAAATTTGAGCCCTGTCGGTAAAACAGGTCCTGTCCTGATCTACTCCAAAACCAAAGAGGGCCACATTACCCATGTGAGAGCAGTACTCTCCTGTCTACAGGAAAACAATCTTTTTTGCAAACTGGAGAAGTGTGCCTTCCATCAGGAGACCACCTCCATCTTTGGGTTCATTATCTTCTCTAAAGGCATTGCTATGGATTCCCAAAAGGTTCAGGCAGTGTCTCAATGGCCTCTTCCCACTTCCCTCACCAGCTCCAAAGCTGCCTTTGCTTTGCAAACTCCTACTGCCGCTTTATCAGGAATATCAGTGCCACCAACTGGCCGGCCACGCCCCTTTTGCCTTCAGCCGGAAACCATTCAGGCCTTTCACGCCTTGATCCAAAAGTTCTCATCAGCTCCCATTATCCAGCACCCTGTTGCATCTCATCCATTTGTGGTGGAGGTGGACACCTCATAGGTGGGTGCAGATGCTGTCCTCTCTCCAGGAAGTTCACGCCCACACAACAGGGATACGGAGTAGGGAACCATGAGCTCCTAGCCATAAAATAGACCTTGGACGAATGGAGACAGTGGTTACTGGGGTCCACTGACCACTTTACAATTTGAACTGATCACCAAAACTTGATTCACATCCAAACTGCCAAAACACTGAACCCTCGCCAGGCCAGGTGGGCACTATTCTTTGAACCATACAACTTCCTTCTAGCCTATCACCCCAGATCCAAAAATAAAAAGGCTGATGCACTCTCTCGATGCTTTTCATAATCCACTTGATCTCTGGCTCCCACACCCATCATCCCAGCTTATTGCATCCTGGCTGCCCTACAATGGTCCCTGGAGGAAACCATGAGAGTGGCCCTTCCAGGGGATCCTGCTCCCTCAGAGATGCCCCTGAACCTACTCTAAATCCAGGCCAGCTGCCACCAACAAGCCCTGGAATTAGGGCCCTCCTCCACTCGCAGGGAAATCGGGTTTCACCCGTACCCTTCAATTCCTGCGCCAAGCGCTCTGGAGGCCATGATGGTGAAGGACACCTGGGAATACATGGCAGCTTGTTCAGTCTCTGCCCATTCTAAATCACTTAATCAACCTCCCTCTGGAACCCTCCAACAACTTCTTGTTCCCAAATGCCCCTTACATTTAGTAACATTACATTTACAGTTAGTATGAGGATTGCATCAAGTCACTGACACCACTCAGTGACTTGATGCAATTTGCTGGGTTCCTTATGTAGGAAACTTTTTTCTGATTGGCTGTATTGGAATGTTTACTATGTGAAGTGCCTTGAGACGACTCTTGTCATGATTTGGTGCTATATAAATAAACTTGAATTGAATTGAACATTGGCATAGATTTTGTGATGGCCTCCCTGACATAGAACAGCTTAACACCATCTTAACCATCACAGATTGCGTCTCTAAAGCTGGTCTCTCAACAACCAAACAACTGCAGAGTTGCTCCTCGAGCACGAGGTGCACCTCCATGACTTCCTAGCATATGTGGTATCAGACTGAGGACTGCCATTAACTTCTCACTACTGGAAGGCTTTCTTTCACTTGGTCGGGGCCTGTTCCAGTCTCTTTTCTGGCTATCATCCGCAGACAAATGGACAGAAAGAAGGGGCTAATCAGCAAGTCGGACTTTGTCTCAGGTGTTTTGTTTCCTCTCAGCCTTCTTCCTAGTCCAAGCACCTGCTAGGGGCCGAGGTTTCCCACAACCTGCAGACCTCTTCAACCACGGGTCAGTAACCATTTGAAATCTGCTATGGGTACCAACCACCCCTGTTTGGCCACCGAGAACAAGAAGACAAAGCATCGGCAACACATAACCTGGTATGCCCTTGCCGATTTGCATGGATCCAAGTACCGGCAGCCATCAAACGAGCAAATTCCAGATGTGCCTCTCACCATCAATGACGCCATCACCCTGGACCCTCCTACCATCTCAGTGATCGGGTGTGGCTTTCTACTGCCAACCTTTGACTCTGCACAGAGTCCAAGAAGCTCACACCCTGGTTCCTCGGTCCCTACACTATCTCCAAGGTCGTCAACCCTGTGACCTACTGCATCCATCTCACTGCTTGTCTCTGAATCCACTCAGTTTTCCACACCTCCCAGCTCAAGCCCTTTGTTACCTTCCCTCTGATCCCTCCACATTGCTATGTGGACGGCAACCAAGTTTTCACGGTCCACCGCATTCTGGACGCCCGTCATCGGGGCCGGAGGTGTCAGTACTTGGTGGACTGGAAGGGTAATGCTCCTGGGGGCCAGCCCAAAAAGTTCTGGACCCCACTCTGATGTCTGACTTTTGGGCCGCGCTTGAGTCATGCCTACATGCCACAGCCAAACTCCTGCTCAGCTCGGTCTCATCCTAATCTGACCTGATATTTATATACTTTTAAATTTTAAACATACAATCAAAGGTGCATTGTTATTTTCCAGTGACTTAAAAACAATAAGTGTGACCAACAATGTCAGTGTCAAGTGTGCAGTTAGATGTCTTAATACAAAAATATGAGAAGGAAACTGTCTTGGTTGCAAATGCAAAAGAGCTCTAAATATAACAGTGGTAGTTTTAAGGCATTGTAAGTATTCACGATATTCACTTAATTCCTCTTATACATTTCAGCATATTGGCAAATTTCCACACTGTGATTTTATGATTTCAAGATTATCACTTGTGTAATACCATGCTGCTGCTGATTACAGTGGTGTACCTATCAGTATTCTTTAATATTAAATCTTCTCATCGATAAGAAATCATAAATACAATCAGTAAAAGTACAGTTCTGGTCATGTTTGTGGGACAGGAAATGAACTTTCTTTGTACATTCTGTGGTGGCCATGAAATGAACTTTCATAGTACATTCTGTGGTGGCCAATCAGATGCCTTCAAAACTCTCTACACCACACCTTTTTTTGTCAGTTAAATTTCACTAAAGGTCCAAACGAGGACATTGTCAAGATGCTTCTGTTCTGTGTGACACTGCTTCTCCTTCACCAAGGATGTAAGTTTTGAGTGAAGATATTTTTTTCACATTCTAATCTACTGCATGTTTATTTGATACCTTTTGTGCAGGTGCTTTGGTTCCAGTGGTAACAGTTCAGCTTGGTGAACCTGCAACTCTGACATGTGTTCTAACAAAGGAATGGTTGGGCCTTAAAATTCTCCGCTGGTACAAACAAGATGCAGGAGATTCTCTGAGAGTAATTGCATCAATGCATAAAAATGCAAACCACAAATATGGATCAGGATTTTCACCCTCAAGACTAAAGGCAGATTATCATAAACAAACTATTAATCTGACAATTTTGAGGACAGTTAAAGAAGATGAAGGAATGTATCACTGTGCGATCATGGACTGGGTTGAAAACATTTGGAGTGGGATTTATTTGTCCATAAAAGGTAAAACTCTTGGTTGAGAAATATTATTTTATTGCAAATGCAAAATTAAAGTACATTGTGCAAAAGTTTATTCATTTCAGTAATTCAACTTCAAGCTGAAAATAATGTATGAGATAGACTCCTTAAATGCAAAGCCAGATATTTCAAGCCTTTGTTTATAAATGGGATGATTATGGTTTACAGTTTATCTCAGACAACTAGAATAATGTGAAAAGGTTCAATATTCTAGACTTAAAGTGGCACACTCTAAACAGCTAATGAATCCAGAACATCTGCAAAAGGTTCCTGAACCTTTAGATGGTCTGTCAGTCTCTAAAATGAATTACTAACATAAATGGACTTTTGCATGATTGTCTCATATTTAGAATGTAACCTACATGTTAATGTAAATATCAGTCTGAATGTTTCTAATTTGTTTTTTAGACATTAGAGATTTAAATATTTTGTGTGCCTGTTTGCATGATTCTTTGTGTGCTTAATGTTATTCAGGGAACGGTGAGAGAGCTGTAAGCTACAGGGTTGAGCAGCGATCATCAGTCAACGATCCAGTCCGTATAGGAGACTCTGTAAATCTGGAGTGTTCTGTCCTTTCCAATACTGAGAAGAACAATTGTACAGAAGATCTGAAGGTTTTCTGGTTCAGATCTGGATCCCATAAATCTTACCCAGAAATCATTTACACTGATGATGATTGTAAGAAAGAAGATTTGAGGAGATGTGTTTATAGCCTTTCTAAGAGTGTTACCTCCTCAGATGCTGGGACTTATTATTGTGCCGTGGCTACATGTGGAGAGATTTTATTTGAAAATGGCCATACTCTCCACATTGGTATGATTTTGCATTATAAATGGAAGTTTTTAGAACACATTTTGGATGCCATAATGAACACTGATGGAAAATTGTCTTTGTTTTCTAGAACAATCGGCAGATGTTATGCTTGTGACGATGAGGATCTGCTTGATCGTTTCTGTAATTCTAAATATCTGTTTTATTTGCTACTGGACTGGAAAAGCTGCAGATAAACAATTTAAAGGTAAGAACAATGTTTTTAATCAAATAAAATTTGAAAAAAATATTTTGGTTATGTAAGGACATCTGTCTTTGCTGCCCTCATAGCTTTAATGATAGCCTTAGTCAAACAAATGCTTTAAAGGCCAGATTCGCTGATAAACCCCTTTTTTACTTGTTGTTTTTGAAATAATGTCTGTCACTCAGATTTTCACATGCAGGCTGAACATGAAAATAGTTTTCTACTCCTATTTCCTGCATAACCTGCTGATAGAAAATAGATGAGTAAATGTGATGTAGAAGGCTGTGTTGATTTAGTGACCAGGAGAGCGCAGAGCACATCCCTATTAGGAGCTAACCATTTCAACACATTCTCACACCCAAAGCGTCAAAATATGGCACGTGTGACCATGCATCAAAATATGACGATTTGGGATGGCCCAGCGCGTCAGGAGAGGACGCATTGAGGATGCACCATCCCAGAGCGTCTGTATCCGACGCCTGCGGTGAGATGGACATTTGACCGACTTGTGAACTACTTAACCTTCCCCTCACCCCCGTTCTAACCTTAACCAGCGGAGTTACTGAGTTAAGGTTAGGATTGGGGTGAGGGGAAGGTTAAATCGTGGAATAATGTTCTTGTGACCGCAGGCGTAAAATACGGATGCTAGTGGTGCCACGTGTCCCTGCGTGTCCCTACTCGTCCTCTCCTGGCGCGCTGGGGCATCCCAAATCGTCATATTTTGACGCATGGTCACACGCGTCATATTTTGAAGCTTTGGGTGTGAGAATGTGTTGACCATTTGCATTTGCAACTCCACAACATGGCAACACTCTTGTGTAATTTGTGGAAGTAATTAAAATAACAAAGTTGCAAAACAGATTAAGTTAGTAGTAGAGTTGTGTTACTGTTAGCAAATCAGATGCAAATTGTCTAAAAATCTAGAACTAAGACTTTAACACTTGCAAAGTTTTGTTCTGGACTTTTCTGGCTAACTCCAGCTTCCTGAAACAGGAGCACCAGAGCTTTTCTCCAAAAGTCATTCTAGAGACCAATGCACATGTAGTGAATTATAGAAATCACTTTTTTTTTACATATTTTTTACTCATTCATAATTACATTGTCAAAGCAGCTGTAAATTTGTACAAAATTTTTAATTCTGTATATCTTCATTTTACGTGCTGTTTAGGGAAAGAAGAGAAGTTTTCAAGTACAAGACATGACCATTTGAGTCAACCGAGGGATGATACGGTATGTTGAAACACAATTTATTCTTTGTACTTAAGAAATTATATATACATATATATTGTTTTTCATTTACCTAATGTTTGTCCTACACAGAATGAAGATGAAAATTATCTAAACTATGCTGCGATAAATTTTTCTGAAGGGCAATCAACAAGAGGACATAAGAAAAGAATATCAGAGTTCGAGGAATGTGTATATTCACGAGTTAAATATCAGTTATAATTGTGTGTTTGTATGGGATGGTTTAAAACTTAAATCCAGTACCATGTCAGAGAAATATTATGTGCAGTTCTGAAAAATGACCCAGAATGACTCTGTAATTTAAATGTTTTTGCATGTAAATGTAAATTTGTGTCAATTCATTTAATTCAAAAATGTTTTTTATTCTTTCATTTTTGTTTGTACTGTGTGGCAAAATCAAAATATCAACAAACTGTATGAAAGGTTTTGCACAATCATCTTAAAACTAAATGTTACTTTGTAGATCCTCCTGAAACATGAGGATCTCAGTCAGTGAAATAAATTACAGAAGAATTTTAAGCTGCGTAAATTAAAAAAAAAGTTTTCAATGCTTTATTTAGTTTCTTTGAATGTAATGTCATCTATTAATTTTTACCACTCTGTTAGATCAAACTAACTTGAATTTCCCATTTTAAAATTTACAGCAGCACTGGTACACTGCTCGGCCAAAAGAATGTCACCACCAAAAAAAGGTCACACGCTTTAATGTTTCATCAGACCACCTTTAGCTTTGATTACAGCACACTTTTGCTGTGGCAGTGTTTTGATAAGCTTCTGCAATGTCACAAGTCTCGAGTTGCATTCATTTGTCACCAAGATCTTGCATTGATGGTAGAGTCTGGCCGTTGCACAAACCCTTCTCCAGCACATCCCAAAGATTCTCAATGGGGTTAAGGTCTGGACTCTGTGGTGTCCAATCCATGTGTGAAAATGATGTCTCATTCTCCCTGAACCACTCTTTCACTATTTAAGCCTGATGAATCCTGGCATTGTAATCTTGGAATATGCCCATGCCATCAGGGAAGATGAAACAACCTGGTCATTCAGTATATTCAGGTAGTCAGCTGACCTCATTCTTGGAGCACATCCTGTTGCTGAACCTAGACCTGACCAACTGCAACAACCCCAGATCATAGCATTGCCCCCACAGGCTTGTACAGTGGGCACTAGGCATGATGGATGCATCACTTCATCTGCCTCTCTTCTTACCCTGATGCACCCATAACTCTAGAACAGGGTCCATCTGAACTCATCATGCGTCGGACAGTTCTTACACCAATTTTAGTCATCTCTGCAATCTCCTTCGATGTTTTATCTGCTTGATGCACAAAAAGTCTTTTGCCTTTCTTCCATTTCTTTGTGCTGCATTTTGAAGCTCTGAAATCTTTTTACGCATGCACACAGGTGTGAGACCCTCTAGCCGAGAAATCTTGTGTGTGTGTGTGTGTTGGGGGGGGGGGGGGTCTCTGGATCTGCAGCTGTGTGCTATTATAATTCACATCGGGTGTTTAATTGCTATCAAGCATCTCATTCCTGGGTTGAAAGGATGGGTCACAAAGCAACTTAGATTTTGTCAACAATGTCATCTAAATAGTGCCATTTATTTTATAATATATTGTGTCTGTCTTTGCTTTGGAAGGTTTAAATACCATGATACGGGTGGTTTAAATTTGTTTCTGCTTGATTTATTAGAGTAATATCAGACATACGTTATCAGAGGGTGTTGACAAGCAAGTAGAAAGAAAAGTGCCATCACAGAAATAATTTGCTTTATCTAAATGTTTTTCTCTTTGCATGTGGTGGTTAGTCGTGATTTTCTATGGTTGACTAGATTGTAAGATTGTGCTCTGCTGCGAAAAGGTTTCATTTCATAGTGTCATTCAGTTTCACATGGTGTTGAAAAGCATGTTCTGTTCTGTTCAGCCAGTCAGTGAGACTTCATGACTCTACTACATAAATAGATTTTGTTATTGAGTGGTCTTTACAGCACAATAATGAGTCAAACATACAATCAACTGAGCCATTCAAGTTTCTTATCTTTGACAAAATAAATGAATGTTACAGATGTAGGATTATCAGAATTTCACAATTTGCGCATTTAACAGAAGAAAAACAGAATTGTTAAAACAAAGTAAATAGATTAGGGAAATGTCTTAAACTTAACCAACTGTGGACCCACCACCCGCAGGAGGAACATGAAGGGTCTGGTGCAATGTGGATCGAGTGGCAGACCAAGGCGGGAGCCTTGGCGGTCCAATTCCTGGACAAGGGAAACTGGTTTTTGGGACATGGAACGTCATCTCGCTGGCGGGAAAGGAGCAGGAGCTTGTGGCAAAGGTTGAGCGGTACCGGCTAGATATAGTCGGACTCACCTCGACACATAGCATTGGTTCTGGAACCCAAGTCCTTGAGAGGGGTTGGACACTCTCCTTTGCTGGAGTTGCTCTGGGTGAGAGGCGGAGGGCTGGGGCTGGGATTTTTTTAGCCCCAAGACTCTCTGCCTGTGTGTTGGGGTTTACCCCGGGGGACGAGAGGATAGCTTCCCTGCGCCTTCGGGTCAGGGAACGGGCCCTGACTGTTGTTTGTGCTTATGGGCCAAATATCAGTTCAGAGTACCCACCCTTTTTGGAGTCCCTGGGACGAGTGCTAGATAGTGCTCCATCGGGGGACTCCATTGTCCTGCTGGGGGACTTCAATGCTCACGTGGGCAATGACAGCTTGACCTGGAGGGGTGTGATTGGGAGGAACGGCCCGCCTGATCTGAACTCGAGTGGTGTTTCGTTATTGGACTCCTGTGCAAGCCACAGTTTGGCCATAACGAACACCATGTTCGAACATAAGGATGCCCATCGGTACACTTGGTACCAGGGCAGCCTAGGTCACAGGTCGATGATAGACTTTGTAGTCGTATCATCTGACCTGCGGCCGTATGTTTTGGACACCCGAGTGAAGAGAGGAGCGGAGTTGTCAACTGATCACCACCTGGTGGTGAGTTGGATCAGATAGCAGGGGAAGATGCCGCGTAGACCTGGCAGACCCAAACGCATAGTGAGGGTCTGCTGGGAACGCCTGGCAGAAGAACCTGTTAAGACGGTCTTCAACTCCCACCTCCGGCAGAGCTTTGATCGCGTCCCGAGAGCAGTGGGGGCAGGGTCCGTAATTAACACTCGCCACTCGCCAAATGCGAGCAAATTGCTCCATTTGGCGAGTAAATTTTTGAGCTCTATCTGCCACATAGCGAGTAAATGTTTGCACCAAATTAGTTATGTTTATCAGTCATCTTCCATGGATTTCTGATACTCCTCCCGCCTGCATGCAACGCCCACAAATGTATGCAAAACGTGAACGCCGCATCCAACGTCATTTCCACCTATCTCATTCAATCAGTTTATCAGGTTAGCGGTTAGCTTCGTGTTAAAACTAGCGGTGAAATGTGGTGATTTTTAACTGGAGTCAGCCAGCCTTCCAAAAGAAAACTTGTCGAACTGGAAGAAAAACCACCAGGACCAGTGGCAACCAGAAGATTTTGTGAAAAGTGGCGAACTGGAGATGGTGGAGTCGTGAGACAATGGCTACATTATGATGGCCACATAACGTTGCTGCCTTTCACAGACACTTTTTCTGCTCGGGCTGCAAACAGGATAGCCGTCTTCTATCAACTGTCCCTCGGCATTCTTCAAATATCCAAAAAATGCCCATACTTCCTTCTTTGAGGGATAATAAATGTCCCAAGTGCTAAAGTGCGCATGTGCCGCCAGCAACTTCAGCAGATGATACGGTGGCTGGTAAGGGTCACCGCGCCTACACCGCAGCCACGGTAATCCACCAAGATAATATATATTTTTTAAAAACAAGACGGTTATTATTATTGTCAACTTTTTTACTGGGGTTTACTGCTTCACCGGTTACCGTGACAACCCTAGCCCTGACACACTTTCAGACATTCTCATGGTGCAGCTGTGTTCTCCAGAGATCAAGGACTATGACCCAAATGAGGCTGTAATGCTTTGGCACAAAGACGGTGTCAGAGGTAGGAGGCCAGACTTCATGGACAGAGAAAACAAGGAGTCTGACTAGATTTCAATGAAAGAGTTCATAAAAACATCTCTAAAAATAAATAAATAAATAGTAAAAATGACAAAAGAGTTGTTTTTCTTATTAATTGATGTTTTAATTATTTTGCCACTCTGTTTGGAATCAACATAATATAGAATAACATTCTTTAGGTAGATCTAAATCATTTACAATGTTGGCCGGTAAAAGATATGCTTGGCCGGTAGATTATCATCATCTACCAGCCAACTTGGCCGGTGAGTAAAAAATTTAATTTAGGACCCTGAGTGGGGGACATTGACTCCGAGTGGGCCTTTTACCACTCTGCGATTGTTGAGGCGGCTGTTGTTAGCTATGGTCGCAAGGTGGCCGGTGCCAGTCGGGGTGGCAACCCCCGTACCCGCTGGTGGACACCAGAGGTTCGGGGAGCCGTCAGGCTGAAGAAGGAGCATGGCTGGTCTCTGGGTCTCCGGAGGCAGCAGACAGGTACCGGATAGCCAAGCGGGGTGCAGCAGGGGCAGTTGCCGAGGCAAAATCTTGGGCGTGGGAGGAGTTTGGTGAAGCCATGGAGAAAGACTATCGATCGGCTCCAAAGAGGTTCTGGCAAATTGTCTGGCGCCTCAGGACAGGAAGGCAGCAACTCGCTCACACTGTTTACAGTGGGGATGGGGAGCTGCTGACGTCAACTGGGGCTATAGTCGGACGGTGGAAGGAATACTTTGAGGAGCTCCTCAATCCCACCTATGCACATTCCGAGGAGGAATCAGAGCTGGGAGACCTGGGGATGGACTGTCCAATCTCGTGGACAGAAGTTGCTGAGGTAGTCAAACAACTACACAGCGGCGGAGCCCCGGGGGCGGATGAGGTTCATCCTGGGTATCTCAAGGCTATGGATGTTGTAGGGCTGTCAGTGTTGACACATCTCTGCATTATTGCGTGGTGATCGGGGGCAGTTCCTGTGGAGTGGCAGACCGGGGTGGTGGTCCCCATCTTTAAGAAGGGTGACCTGATGGTGTGTTACAACTATAGGGGGATCATACTCCTCAGCCTCCCTGGAAAGGTCTACTCCAAGGTACTGGAGAGGAGGGTCCGATCGATAGTTGAATCTCAGATTGAGGATGAGCAATGTGGTTTTCGTCCTGGCCATGGAACCGTGGACCAGCTCTATACCCTTGCAAGGGTGATGGAGGGGGCATGGGAGTTTGCCCAACCAATCCACATGTGTTTTGTGGATTTGGAGAAGGCTTATGACCGTGTCCCCAGGGGCACCCTGTGGGGGATGATCCAGGAGTATGGGGTGGGTGGCTTTCTGTTAAGGGCCATTCAGCCCCTTTACCAGAGGAGCGTGAGTTTTGTCCGCATAGCCAGTAGTAAGTTGGACCTGTTCCCGGTGAGGGCTGGACTCCGCCAGGGCTGCCCTTTGTCACCGGTTCTGTTCATTACCTTTATGGACAGAATTTCTAGGCGCAGCCATGGTGTGGAGTGTGTCGAGTTCGG